CGATCACAAGTAAATACAGTGCCAGTACTGCCGATACCGATACTTTTAACTTAGAAATGCAGCTTATGTAGGGGAGAGCAATGTGTCATCACTTATGAGGTGAATCACCATTAGTTTGCAAATTCTGAGCACATTTTAATCACCACTGTGATTTTTACTTTCTGCAATAATTAGTTAACAAAATAAAACACACTTCATTTTTTATGAAGACCTGTGATGTAAACGTGTCTGTTTCTAAAGGACTTTGGTTCAACTTCTGATGTCTAAATGTCCTATGGGCTATAAATAAAATAGATGTGACATTCAACACAAAAACTGTGACATATTTTATAATCTCCCCAAAAGAATGTATTTAACACAGTTCAGTGGGCAAAATACTGAACATAGAGGTTAAAAACAAAGTATTGATGCTATTGTGCTATTATCAATTCAATACCAGTGTTGGTATTGATACTATTGCTTTTTGGACCAAGCTGCCTACCTCTAGTGCACCTCTGGTTCACTTGAATGACTGACATACCTAAGTTACGCTGATCTATAGACTATCCATAGAGAGCTTATTAATAACAATTTTGTTTTTTCTTTTCCACCAATGGAGATGATTTACTAAAAATACAAACCTTGTCTACAGAATATAATTGGAGATGTTTAGTAAGAAAAGCACAAGGGATACCTGATTCTAAATTCTGTCTGACTTTTTTGGTTTCATAGCTCTCAGGCTGAAAAAAATGCATTGTGACTTCTTATATTTACAGAAATGAATCCTGAAATATGCCCGATATCAGTTGGTTAGTTACAGTAATCTTTGTCTTTCAGGGAACAAGCAAATAAGAACAAATATTACTCATTTTACTTTTACAACATGATGGATGACTCTTTTACTAACCACTATTGCTCATGGTTCTGCTGTGTTTCATCACTGGCTGTGGTTTCAGTTTTTGACCTAGCTGTTTATTAACATAAATATCTAATTGGCCAATCACATTGCAGCATCTCCATGCAGTTAGACATGTATACATGGTCAAGATGAGCTGCTGAAGTTCAAACCAAGCATGAGAATGGGGAAGAAATGTGAACAACTTTGAGCGTTGTTGGTGTCAGACAGCCCATCTGACACCAACAATGCTCAGAAATTGCTGATATACTGGAATTGTCCTACACAAAAATCTCTGGCGGCTTACAGAGAATGTCAGTTCTCTGGGTAAAAATGCCTTATTAAGTTTAGAGGTGAGAGGAGAATGGCCAGACTGTTTTGAGCTGATATTAAGGTAATAGTAACTTAATTACAACTCGTTAAAAGTACAGTAAAGATGCAGAAGAATGTCTTTGAACACCAAGACAACATGTCAAACTTTCAAGCAGATGGGTTCTGGCAGCAGAAGACCACACTGAGTGCCCCTTCAGTCAGCTAAGGACAGAAAACTAACGCTACAATTCACACGAAAATTGAACAGTTGAAGATCGGAAAAACATTGCCTGGTCTGATAATTTCTGTTGCAACATTCAGGCCGTAGGGTCAGAAATGGTATAAACAACATGAAAGCCGGGATCCATCCTACTGTGTATCAACAGTTCAAGCTGGTGTCATAGAATGGGAGATATTTTTTGCCTACCCGAGAATTGTTGGTGACCATGTCCGTCACTTTATCACCACAGTGTATCCACATACTGATGACTGCTTCAAGCAGGATAAACTGGAAACAGTTCAAGAAACCGGTTTCTTGAACATGAGAATGAGCTCACTGTACTCAAATGGCCTCCACAGTCTCAGTCCAATAGAGCACTTTTGAGATGTGGTCATAGATGACGTCAATATGCGGGCCACAAGTTTGAGACCCCTGGTTTATAGTAACAGATACTTTTTGTTTGTGCAGATATTTAGCCACATGTCATTGCTGAATAGGGCTGGAGGCTGGACTGGGACAAAAAATCATCCCTGGCCGATGGTATAAGTTTGATTATGGATATTGAAGCAGTCGTATTGCAGCATGTGACAATAATTAAAAGCTACGCTTTAGCTATTAGTAGTGGCTCATGGTCATTTTACCTGAATCCTTGAATCTCTCCCTTTCTAAATATCTCCCTCTGTGTATTTTCTTACCACGTTAATTGAATTTTCCTTGTCTCTTCCTCACTTCTCCACAGCTGGTGCTAGCAGCAGTTAATTTGCTGTATCTATTATTAGTTTCTTTTTATTGTTTTTTCTCAGCTCCACCATCGCCACTTCTTCCACACAAAACTTTTTCTACAAGCTGCGTGAGCACACGGCGACGGTAGGGGAAGAGCTGGTCGTGTTAAGAGATTTGACTGGGAGATCCAGTGTCAGTAATAAAAATGAACAAATGGACTGCTGTCGGCGCATCCCAAAAGTGCGTCGGCCCACCGGGAAAATGCCAACCCTAGTGCTGTACATCAGTACAAGAACATGTGGAAAATGTTTTTAATATATTTTCTTTGTAAGAGAACAGGCCATTTAGCAGATATTAGAGATCAGAGATTATATAATGGACAGTCTGCCAGTATTCTGTCATGTATTATTAATTTTTCCTCTTTCTTCATCATAATAAATATTTATTTTAGGCATAATTCACTCAGTGGTATTTTCAGACTCCACTGATAACTTGTTTACTTGATGTAAATGTTAATGCTGTATATCAGTCTGTTAAGCTGTGTTCTGACACTATCACAGTTGAGTGATCCCCTAGTCCAAAGATGAAAGGATTTGTGCATGCTAATTATTTAAAGTACAAGAGCTTAAATCTTTATCCCAACTTTGATCAGGAGAAGCTGGCATCTGCGGTGCAACGATATACTGACAGCTCATGCTGCATTCTCTAAAGAATGAACTTAAACTCAAGAACAAACTGTGCTTTATTTCGTGACTGATCAAAGGATCATGGTGTCAGACATCACATCCACTGATATAAAATGGCAGGCAAACGTATTTATAGAACAAACATTCAAACTCTTCAGAAAGACTGTGCCGCAGTGCTGGAAATATCACTACGCTGATAAATCTCTAGGGAATACAGTTGTTGGTTCAGTTCGTTTCACAAAGGTTTGTCTCCCGTGTAACAGTAGGGCAGTGCTTTACTTCGCAAATGAGTAGCTGAGCTTTACAAAGCGCTTTGTATCCTGAAAGCACCCTGAATGCAAAGAGCCATTTGGGAAACAGCAGTGTTTCTTTTCTTTACAGCTGTCTCCCAATCAGACGGCTTTTCCTGCTCGCCTCGTGTCTGAGCAGAGGGGGATATCGGTGTGTTGCCAAAGACCGGTCCCTGCTGTGCTCTTCCTGCTTTTGTATCGTCGAGCTTTTTTTGTTGCAAATCGTGAAAAATATGTTTAATAAGCGTCGGTGTTCTGCTGAAATTAGGGGTTAAAGGTGAGGCCTGACTAAACAAGAGTGCAAATAAAAGTCAGAACAGTTATAAAAACTGAACTACTGCAAACACGCAGGCTACACGAGAGTGAGCGTTATAAAGGAATTTGAGTTCAAACGGAGCAGATGGCCAGAAGGTAACATCCCATATTGTTCCAATTAATAACCATTTTTCACACAGTTTTTGGATTCGTACACGCTCTATTTATCTTTACTTCTTCATTGCCAAAATACAAAATGTGAAAAGGAAATAAAAGAGACGTTTTCAGTAATAACTAAACTGTAATAATTTACCGGTGTAATAATGTTTTTGCATAGAGGGAGCAGAGCGAGCTGGAAATGAAGGTAATTAGGTTATGCTTTGCAAATAATATGCAGATATGTCAAGGGCAACATAATTCAGCAGACCAGACTCAGCTGGCAGAAAGCTTGACCCAGCCAAGATATTTATGTGACTGTGTGTGTGTGTTTGTGTGGGTGGTTTTGTGAAACAGTCATGCTTATTGATCTGTTCTCTGACAGATTCAGTTCACTGAAGAGAAAATGCAGCAACTGAGCGAATTGAGCTTTTGGGTCTGCATGACCAGGCTGTGTTTTTCTATGTTCACAGGGGAGCTGACACAGAGGTTTATGCAGCAGAGCTGTGACAGCGACTGACGCTTTCAACAGTTATCAGTTAGGTGATGTACAACCCCAGATTCATACTAATATTCTCATTGTCTGACTCTTGAGCCACATAGCTCAGTAAGGCAGTTCTTTGTATTTTTAATCATCATTTATTTGAAGAGTAACATTTAAATGTAGTGGTTCCGAAAGTCTCTGAATGACTGGTGTTATTTATTTTCCTTTTTTTTCTACAGGGTGCTAACTAAAACACGGCCATGCCTCCCCCATCTGACATTGTGAAGGTGGCTATTGAATGGCCTGGTGCCAATGCTCAGCTAATAGAGATGGACCAGGTATGCATGAGTACAACAAATGACTTAAATCCTCACAATGCCTCTAAGAACTTATCTTCCTCTAGCTATTACAGTGAATCATTCAATTCAGTTCAGTTTTATTTATGTAGTGCCACAACAACGGGTCGCCTCAAGGCTCTTTATGTTATAATGTAAAAATCCTACAGGAACAGAGAGAGAGAATCCCAACTATCAAGCTGTGTCCCATTTCAGGGTCTGCACGCTTGAAGTATGCGCACTACGCGTACTACGTACTGTGCGTACTATAAGTACGAGAAGTGCGGAAGTGAGAGGCTTGTGAAATGGGACGGTATATGCTTCGTCGCGCTGTTCAGGTTGCCTAGCAACCATGATACTAACCGCGAGACATGTTACATACAGCTTTGTTTGATAGAAATGAAGGAGAAAATTGTTTTGTTGGTCAATCATTTTTGTCATGACATCACTTTGATTAGTTGAGTATCTGAGGCTGAGACCACAGGACTGTAAAACATGATTCAAGGGCTTCATTTCTGTACTGAACAGTCATTTAAGATTAGCTAGTAAATAATAATTAGTTAATGTTGTTCATGAGACTAAAGTCATCTCACTGTGGTAATGTAAATATAATATGGCCAATATTATAGTATTGTCAGATTATTATGATATATCTATATCTATCTATCTATCTATCTATCTATATATCTATATATCTATATATATATATATATATATCACTGACTTTCAGCTTGTTGTGTTTGTGGATATATGACTGACTTTAATTATCCATAAAATCATCAGATTCTCTGTAAGATTAAGGTCGACTATATGTATATTTAGAAGTAGAGGCTTTAAAACCAAGTTAATGCTGAAAGTACAAACATCACTAGTGTCACATAACTTTGCCGACATGTGGCCAACAGCAATGTTGTAATGTTCTTCATTATTAAACATTCGCACATGAATAAGTGACGTCATATTCAGTACTTACTTTTGACAGTTCACTTTTCGGCCGCTCCCTTCTGCCGTATTTTGCGGCAAAATTATCCACACCCACCGCCGCGCTATGAATTGTGGGATATATGGGACCACGAAGCGTGCACCGGACCACGCTTGATATTTGGGTAAATCAACGGCACATTTGGAGTATGCATTTCAAGTACACTTCGAATTGGGACAGCCGTCGTCGCGTGGCGGTGACGTAACCGCACTTAAAATGCGTACTTCAAGCGTGCAGACCCTGAAATGGGACACAGCGTCAGATGACTCCCTATGAGAAAGCACTTGGCAATAGTGGGAAGGAAAAACTAATTTTTAACAGGAAGAAACTTCCAGCAGAACTGGGCTCATGGAGGGGTGGCCATGCGTCATGAGTGGTTGGGAGGTGAGGGGAGGAAGACGGGCCAAAAGACACACTGTGGAAGAGAGCCAGAGATTTATAATAACTAATGATTAAATGCAGAGAGGTGTATAAACACACATGGGCTGTAAAGAGTTGAGTGAAGAATAAACGAAGTGCGTAACAGGAATGGGAATAACAATTAAAGGGGAGGAAATTATGTGCGGCTTTAATGTGAAAATTTCATGTATGCAAAATACGAAAGTACCCCAACTGGCAGATTTGATAGATAGTGCCATTTGAGGAGGGATGATTCATGATTCCTTTAAGTCCTTTAATGTTGAATTTTTCAAGTCTGTAAGTTTCTTTCCCCTCTTTGCAGAAAAGACCTTTGTCCTCAATAATTCGGGAAGTATGTGATGGGTAAGTATTACTCCTGTATGTTTTAATTGTTTCCAAAGGTATGTTCTGTAGGATTACTTAAAATATTTGAGATTTATTTAGTTTCTAAAGTGTTAGCTATAATGAACTAGACTTTGCAGGGCGACCAAATTTTTCAGTGGTGCGACTAAAAAAAAATATTTTGGGTAACAAAAAAAAAAAAATCTCTGCAACTCTCCGTGTGGTCAACAACAGACACACATTATGCCCCTATCGTGGACTAAACCAATCAGAGATAGTCAGGGGCGGGACCTCTCTGAT